CAGATATATCCTACATATCTTATGAGTATTGTAATTTATACGGTGTCAATTATAATTTTGACCAGCTCATCTCATTTACGATCAGTAACTCATACTTTAATGATTCTGATTTCAAGTACTATCCTAGAAATGACATTCAAGGAGATGTAAAATCTACTACTTTCGAAATAGTCAACAGCACTGTAGAATATTTTGCTATCGTGTTTTCAGGGAATTTAGTAATTGAAAATTCCTCTCTTTTGGATTCTGACAGTCATATGGAGGTAAATATGGGAAATTATGCCCAATTGCACAATTATGAGGTAGCTGCACTTTTAAGATTCTCTAAAATACAACAAGTAACAGCAACAAATGGAATTATAGATCAAGAAGGAAAGATATTTGTTCGAGATTTTGAAACATTCAAATTTACTGATTCTAATATTAAGGGTACATCACTAAAGAGACCAAAGCTATATCTTCAATCAGGAGCGTATGCCTTGCTACAAAATGCTAATAGCACATCAAATAGACAAGTAATTAGCATTATCGATGTGAAAGATGTGCTTGTGGACTATTTTTCAATGATGAATAGTGAAATAACTAGAGAGTGTTTCTACACTTGTTCATTGTTGACGTTTAATTGTGCCAATGTGAATATTACCAATTCATATTTTGCTCGTAATAAGGGTAGTCTTTATGGAGGAAGTGTATATGTCAATAATTATGTGACTGCCAAACTTGATAACAATATTTTTCAGCTAAATAGGGGACAGAAGGGTGGAGCACTTTTCCTAGGATATTGTCAACCTGATATGACAACTTATTGTTGGGCCTCAGTAACTAATAATATATTCGAAAATAATTACAGTGCCGAAAGTGGAGGGGGAATGTTCATTCTATTCATTGCAAAAGCTCAGTTATCAAACAATACGTTCATTGGAAATAATGCATCTATTAGTGGAGGAGCAGTTCATATAGAGTATGTAAAAGAATTGGAAGTTTCAGATTCTACTTTCATAAGAAATAGAGTTTTATTGGAAAGTTACAGTCAAAGAAAAGATGACTCAATTGGCTACGTTAAAGGTGGTGGAGGAGCAATATCTGTTCTTGGAATTGAAAAAACTGGTCTCATATCAGGATGTAAATTTCTAAACAATAAGGCATCTAAAGGTGGAGCTCTATTATTTGGAAGAAACCAGGGAGATGAGAATCCAAAATCACTAATCATTTCTGAAACATGTACCTTTAACAAGAATACAGCATCACTCGGAGCAGAAGGATATTTGTCCAATCTAAAGTCTACTGGATCATCTTTCCAATTCAAGAAACCTCCAAATACAGAGTTTATGAGTGCCCCTGTCAAGACACTGTTCATGGAATTGGAAATCGTTCTTGATAGGCCAAAATCACAAATCTTGGCAACACTCTTCTTATCAAGCAAGATATTTCCAGGTTTCTGTTGAAGTTAATATTGGTTAATAACAATAAATTAACAAGATTGTAGTACTTACTAAATCACGGTGAACAACAGTTGGTGTCAAATTGTGTAAATATTCAATGCCTTTAGCTGTGGCTATTAATATAGAGAGTTTGTTCTTCAGTGGAAGAGTAATTTCCCCAATCCTGGCTCTGTATAAGGATTTATCAAGAGAGCCCATTTCAGCAAACTCAGTAACCATGTATTTGTTTTCTGATGTTACACAAATACCAAATAATGTCAGAATGTTATCATGTCTCAGTGAGCTCAGTAATGAAGCTTCTTGCTCAAACTCATCTCCTTGGTCGGTCGATTTCAGAAGTTTTATGGCAACGTCAATTTTTCCAACTAATTTCCCAAGATAAACTATTCCTAGTCCTCCTTCGGCAAGTTTTCTAACAATTTCAATATTTTCAATAGGAATAATAAATGACGGTTTTTCATTCTTTTCTATCAGTGGAACGGATAGATCACTATTGTTTGATTGTTTTGATTTGGCAGTTTCTGACAATGTAGATTGGGAAGAAACCACAGAATTTTGAAATATTACTTTCTTGTCAATAATTCTCATTTCCAATTCCAATTCTGCTTTTTCTTTCTTTTTCAGTCTCCACATTCTTACCGAAATAAAGTTAAGGACATAAAGAGAAAACAGACCAATAGATATTCCCAGTATTAGAACAGCAATTGAAGTTGGAACAGCAACTAGAATTACAAAATCTCTTGAGAGTACAACTTGTTCTGGGATACATTCAACTGCTGGTTGACCTGATATAACCACATCATCCATTGTAAACATTTGAGGGCATTTTACAAATGTGAATGAAACATTAAAAAAATACTGAGAGTCTTCTGAATAAAGTGTCAAACTCCTTTCTAAGGCTCCAATTTCCTTTTGGACTGGGTAGGGTGTTATTTGAATTGTGCTGTCTGTTGAGAAATTTAGAGAAAGAACAATGTCTTGATCAATATCATACATAATCCTAATCTTGCTTAAATCAGTAATAGTATCACCGAAAAAATTATGGACTAGCAGCTTCAAGGTTAGTGGTTTACCTGGCACAACTTCTTTTACAGAAAACTCTTGCAATTTAAATACAGAACTAATTTAGGTACATTGTTTTATTGTCCAAGCGAGGTTTTAGAAGGACCAAGTGAATCGAATATGGCCTCGAGACAAACAGCAACCATGATAGATGTCTATTCCTTTGCAATTATTATGTGGGAAGTATTCTTTGAAGTGATACCTTATTCATCAAGTTTCAAATTGACAAGAATGTACGAAACCAACAATGAGGAAGAAAGGTTATGGTCTAATGTGAGTCTTTTCAACATTCCAGGATTGGTTGTTAAAGGACTTAGACCTATAATTCCTTTCAAAACAGAAGATCAAATATTCAAATGGATTTCAGAGTACATGCTGCCAGATGAAAAAACATCTCCCAACATTGTAATAGTAGTAATGAAATATTTTGAAATTGTAAAAAGAAATTGGGATCACAATGCTACTCTACGCTCCCCAATCTCAAATATTAGATCGGATTTGGAAGATTTATTGGCCTTGTTGGAAATGAATTGAATATAGAATGACTCATTCTTAATAATTCTAAACCTTGAATCCCACTCCACATTCCTCTCCTTCTATTGTAATGAATACACTTCATAATCATCAACTTGGAAGTAAGCTGATCCAGCCATAAATGATTGTGCCGTAATACTACCAGGTATCATTGTTGCATCATTGTTACAATAACTGTAACACAAGTTCGCATAACTGTTGGAGTTCTGATTTGAATTATCAACAATTAATAAATCATGACCTCCACCAAAAATTGGTCCATAAGCACTGTTATAATTAATAGAAACTGAACCAATGAGAGGAAATTTGACAAATCTTTCTTGATTGGTTGAAGAAATTAAATAAGAAGGAAGATGTATCCAAAGCAAATCCATTAGTCCAAGAAGAAGCCCAAGAAAACCTTGCATAACTTCCGAATACGGCTCCACCTTTTGCTTTGATTAATACAATCGTTGGTCCCTTATTATCACCAAGTGTGGAATGAGCTTGATGTGAAACCATCCCTTGAAGCTCTGAAAAGTAATTTCTTATTGCTGGTAGGAACATTATTCAAAATTTCAGTCAGTAGCCTTACAGAATGATTGGTATTTGTGAGAATTGTTGATGACACCAAATCCCCAATATCAGCTAAATTACAATCTGTTCCAATCCAACCTGATTTACATAATGAACAATTGAATCCCATCCAATTTCCAGAACACAGAGAGCACTGATCTTGAGATAGACATGCTATACATTTAGAATTACATGTTTGTATTAAGATGGGGCTGCTAGTTAATTTTGTTATATTACAATCAGGACCATCAAATGCAACACATGTCGAATTGACAATTTCAATCTCATTTCGAACATTTGCCAATGCTTTTTTAACTTTGGCCAATTGTGCAAATCGAGTCGATGCGAATGGTGAATTTGATTTTCTCAACAAATTGGCTGTTTTTTCCAATTGAGCTGCAGTACATTCCAAATCAGATGCTGTGAGATGATGATGAAGAGCAAACTGAGCAAAATGACCATCAAAGAATGTCCTCCTTTGAATGAAAACATTTTTTAATGTAATGGCGCAGATTGTTGGTGAAGAAGCTCAAAGGAGTTGTTCAAAATTAGAAAAAAACATGTGCCTATCCACGAGCTGAGCTTTTCAATTTTGCAAGTCAATTTCACACAGAGTTGAGCTCATCTAAATTTCCACACTAAATACTTCCAATTCCTCAACTTGAAATCGACAAGATCCAGCCAGATATGAATTTGCTTCCATAATATTCATTTCTGGAGGACTTTCAAACATCCAAAAGCTTGAAAATGAATGAAAATTCACATTACAATTCTCAACTATTGCCAGATCACTTCCAAATTCAATTAAATGAGTTTCACTCCAACTGATCAATGCACACGAATTAGCTTTCTTGATGGGAAACCTTTCCAATATTCCACTTTCATTGAATTTAAATAAGAAAGCATTAGAATCTGTCTTGAAAATACGAAACTTGTCTGTCAAGTGTTCTCTTGTAAAACCTCCAAATATTGAACGATAAACTCTCGATCTGATAACCACCACAATGTTTCTCAGATAATTGCATTTGGAATGAAGAGTTTCGGATTTGAATCCATCCACAGAACCAACAAAGTTTCGGATAACTTGTTTGCAGTGGAGAGTTTCTTGGAATAATGAGAGAAATTGATGGTTATTTAGAATGTTGGATTGTGTATGGGAAAGTGAATTAACCGAAAGTTTGGAATAAAGCAGTGAAGAGCCAATAAACGAATCTAAACTAATCCCAACACTTTCATTCATTTTTTTCAAATTAAATTAAATATTAAAAAAAAGAACATTGAAATCAATGATCATTTTCAATGGTTTACAATGATCTACAATTAAAGTCTTGAATTTTCTCCTACCCAATAATAAAAAATTGTAGTTTGTGAAAATCTATTCGAATCTATTTTTACAATGAAAATGCAATCACCACAAGCAACTGATTGGATCTATACAACCGGGGTAAGATATTTAATCTTCCGTTTTGCATGATCATCCTTGTTAGAAAGTAAACTAAACATTGAAGATTCTCTTTCGCAAAGTTTTAACTTGGAAATTTTAAATTGCTTACCAAACACGTTTTCTCAACTTTAATAATTACAAAAAAGTAAACTCTTCATGCATTGATTCACCATGTTGTATTGAAATACGAAACTTTCTAATACTTTTTCATTAGTGCGCTAGTTGACGTTTACATACAAAATTACGACGCCTTCAAATCAGGTCATTTATAACCAATTTTATATTTGAACATTTTTAAAAGGAAAGATTTGTTCCATCATTTTACAATTTTCAAATTCTCATTCGAAACCAATCACGTGAGATGACTTTTTTTTTGTAAACTTCAATTTCCAAACTACGGTGAGAATTTACAGTTTTTTTAATTGGATGCAATTTTTATTAAAAAGGATTGAAAAATTCCGAACATGTTTCCGTTGTTCGATAAAAACAGTTGTTGTGATTAAGGAAAAACGGTTCAATGGGAAGGTGCAAATTTGGTTTTAATTATCGATCGAGTTGTGGCCGTTATTCGTTTGGTTTCTGATAGACAATTCGAATGTTTGGGTTTTTTGTAAAAGAGATTGGTGCACTTTGCATCATCATCATGGTAATTAACAACTTTTCATTGAGTTTTTCATGGCTCTTTCGTTGTTCAATTATTTATTGGGTTAGAAGGATAAACATGTGGTTATCCGAAACTTGGTTTCTTCTCTCTTCATGAAAATAATTGAAAGAGATTCAAATGGTGATGAATATTGTCAATTCTATTGAAATCTCACTACTTTGAATTTGTTTGAGATTTGTTGTGATCCAAACTCATTTTCAATGATTAAATAAGGTGTTCTCCCTAATTGACCAAATTTGAAATTATTACTTCTGTTTGTAGTATTGAAAATTCCTACACTTGACAATGAGGTACCAATGCCTCAGTTCCTTAATTATCAGACAATGAAAATGATTTCTGACCTCAAAACAAAGCCCTGATTAATGGCAGTTGATGTTGACAATTTAAAAATATGAATACATCAAATTTCCAAATGAAATTTTAATGATCTTTATTAGTAATTCCGTTGTTATCTTTGTTACCCAAGCAGAATGTATTCTGAATCTAACTGAACTTTGCATGCAACGCCATCTATCATCAATTTTAATGAGCTCTACAAACGACATTCAATTTGCTCCATAAAATTTACATTCTTGTATTTGTGTTGTAAATGGTTAGATTCTGTGATTTCACCCACAATCATCATATTCTAAATGACCAGTTTCGTCCAATGTGCTCCCAAATATAATACTACTACAATGGATGACATTAAAACTCATCACAATCCTACTTGTTGATCGTTGAATGATGCACATCTCATGGGGTAGTGAACAGTTCGATATTTGGTTTTTGCATACAAGCGCATCGAGTCACCAGATTCTTCCATGTAGTTTTTGATAGAAATGAAAGCGGACGATTTTTAAATCCGATCATTTTCAAAAGCAAACTTGTTTCTAGCAGTTGGTTCTTTACTTTTAAAATAAAAACAAACAACAAAAATCGCTGGTGAACAGAGGACACCTTTCTTATTCGAAACTATCTGAAAAGAAACCATTTCAACCTAGGTCTGTTTACGAGGATCATATTGCAAGCTCCTTATTAGGTCTGTCATCTGTTTTCTCAGATTAAAGTAGAGCACTCTTTTCCATCCAATCAGCGATATTCATCATTCATCATCTATTATTCGAAACGTTTTTGAAGTACATTCTCATTATATCAGCAATTCTATTCGAAATAGTTATCAAAAAAACGTAAGTACATTCTCATTGTTGATGATACTGACTGACTTCTCATTAATTTCAAATTCCTATCCGAAACAATCAACAGATTATTGTAAATTAAACCCTCATTTATCATCAAATCATCATCACCAATAATAATAATAATAACATCATGGACTACTCCAATCTTTTCCAATCATCATCATCATCATCAAATAATAATAATAATCAGCACCACATGATGATGACTTGCAATAATTCCTCCTCCATAGAAAGTCTCTTTGATTCCATGCTCGATGAAGATGAACTTGATTTTAGCGCTGTAATGCGAGAAGAGTTGGAGAGTCACGAAGCCTTGAATCATCCGCTCTCTCCACCAACTGTTATTATACCTTCCACAACACAAGCCTCCTCCTCATCAGCATCATCATCAGCAGTAGCACACAATATTGTTGTTGTTACGCCTCATACAAAGAGTAATGTCTTGTTGGCTGGATGTGGTGAGGATGCTGCAGTTGATCGTACAATGATGATGTATCCTTCCACCTCCTTTTGTAATACAACGAGTCAAAGCTATGTAAATAATCATCAAACACAACAACAACAACATTCACCTAGTACACCAAGACTCTCCTTGGATACTAATTCAGTGTTTGAATTATGGCAACAATTCATTAATAATAATAATAATCCAAATAATACTTCCACTACAACTCCTATTAATAATAATAATAATTTAAATTTAAATAATAATATTAATATTAATAATAATAATAATAATTCATGTAATAATAATGTAAATACAACCAGTATTGAACAACAAGTTCAAGAATTACTCAATCAACTCGCCATTTCCAATAATACCAACCCAAACAATCATAATACTTTAAATATTTCCACCCCTACAATCATGACCAATAATAATAACAACAATACCATGTTGATCAACAACAACTCTCCAAGCATTACCAATAACAATCAATCCCAACAAGTAGCCTACTTGGGTTCCATGCTCGCCAATTGTACCAACATTCAAAGTCTCTCCCCAAGTATGAGACGTAGCATTCACCATCATTCAAAGTCTCCTTCCTTAGGCTCCATCAATTCATCCTCATCCTCATCCTCTCAATCAAGAGGTATTAGAAAGGGTGGTAGTCATCAGAGATCAACTTCATGTTTCCAAGCCATTCAAAGTTATTCAAATTCCAAGATGCAAAGTTGTGGTGCTAATAACATGTTAATGGTGAATAATATGAATGGTGGATTGAATTCACCATCTGTTACTTCAACTTGTTCATCCAATATGTCCATGTCTCCAGCCAATGTGTCCACCAATTCATTTGGCAATTCAATCATGATGAATAACAGTAATGGACAAGTTTACATGTCCAATAATAATAATACTACTACTACTGTTGGACAACAAGTTGTTGTTAATCAACACTCTGCAAACAACAGTAATAACAGTTCAAATAAGAAGGGAAAGATTCCAGCCAATAGACAAGATAAGAACAATCATAATCAATTCACTTTTGTTAATCAACAACATTCGAAAGGTTTGTTAGTTGAAGCAAATCCAAACGATAAGCCAATCAAGATGCAACAATGTAAACTTGTTGATGGTGGAATCAAGATTCAGATCGAAGATGGAATTAGTAAGAATAAGAAGGATACTGGTCTTCAATTCCACACCTGTACCTTTAAATAAGTCCAGTTTAGACCACTTTCGTTTTCACTCATGGACAGAAAGTAATGGAAAGTATCAATAGTTCCAATGAGTGTTTGTAAAATGGCAATTCAAGCGTCATTTTAATCGAAACCAAATCATGTTTCATTGACAGTGGTTATCTTCAATCACACATAATTAATACTCAGCTTGTATAGATTGCGAGTAAAGCTTTTTTTTCTGTTAAATATTCTTCTTGTTATTATTTACAATCAACACTGTTGACACATGCATGGGCAGTAGGAAACTCGATCTTAAAAAACTCATGGCTGACGAGGTTTCCAATTCTGTCTCGAGTTGCCGTATTAGAAGACTTTGAACTTTTGGTTAGTTGTTGCTTTGAGCAATTATTTTGTATCAACGTGTCAAAAAGTGTTGTTGGTGATCAATGTTTGCTTTTTCTTTGTGTTTTATAGGATTCAATATGCTTCTTCTTCTTAATCATCGACTCGATGTTGTTCTTTTTGTTTCATACTAACTCTCAGCCGCATATGTTCTTGGAAATAGAGTAGTACTTTATAGCATGTTGTCTCTCCACTTTTTTCGTTTATGAAACGCAAAGGTATTGAAGAATCTTGACAATTAAATCAAAAAAGAACTTTGTCCTAAGAAATCTTACAAGATGAAAGTACATTTTAGGAAAGGTTGCAACTGGGGAAATACCTTGAATTGTGGCGATCTTGAAATATTTAGCAACTTGTTGAAAGATTAGTGAAGCAACGATAAATTTGAGACCCCTATTCCAGTAACAGATAATCCCTACTCGCTCTCTATGCACAATTTTGGTTTTATAGTGTTTCAGGTGCTGAACTTTGGATTCTATCAATAATCTCAAAAAGTACTAGCCACAGGTCCGTTCAACTTGGCTGCACAGATGCTTCAATGATAAATGAGCCTTTTGATAATTACACTCCAATTAAGAGACAAGAAGGATAATAGAATATTACTAAAGTGTTGAATTATTTAACAGATTGGACGTGTTTTATTTGAATTAATTCAAGAATTGGAAGATTTCGCAAGTAGTTAAATCAGAGAAGAGTAGGACAAGGACAAGATCGACAATCTTTGGAGAATAGACTCCTGAAATGTTCTCTAATAGATATTCTCTTGTAATAGATTCATTGATGCATGATTTTCTAGTCATTAGCATGAAGAGTATTTGTCCAATGGATTTGATATTTCTCTTTTGTGATTCAGTGGAGTGGGATGAAAAGCAAATAAATTCCAAATTATATTTCAAATCATACTCGAATGCACCATGTCTTTCGACCAGAATGTTAGAAGGTCTGAAGTCTCTGCAGACAATATTATTTTCCTGAATAAATAGTAATGAATCTAAAAGACTGCTGGCCATTCTCGTTAAGCTATTCTCGGAAATAAATTCTCCTCTCTTGAGGAGTTGGTCTAATGTACCATCTCTGTACCATTTCGTTTCAAGGAATGGTCGCTTACCAATGAGACCACAATGTGTGATTTCTACTATATTCGAATTTCTCAAACTCAATAGTTTGTATATATCGTCTCCGCTTGAATTGTTTTTCAACAATATTAATTTACAAAATTTGTGGTCGTATTTTCTTGTCACTCTATAATATTCTGCATATTCATCTTCCTCAATCTTTTCAACTCTTTCATAATTGGTGTTTAAAATGTCCAACTCTGAATTGTTTGTATTATAGTTCATGTTAATATAATTATTTACAATGGTTTGATTTGTTTGTCCAAAACTAAATTCCGATTTAATTAAATTTGATGAAGGTTTGATTCTCTTAACTTTTTGATCAAAAGAATCACAAACATCTTCCATACTTGAAATTGGTGAAGCAATCGGCAAATTCCAAGCAAAATCATCAGTACAATCACAAAATTCTTCTTCCTCATAATCTGTATATTTTCTCTTCAGTGATGATCCTTCGGAGGTGGAGTTTGTGTTTCTCTCCCTCTTCGTAGAAGCTCTCGAACGACTCTTCTTGAGCAAGCCTTCATGAAAGAACAACGGCATTGTTTTTTGTTTTAAATTAAAAATAGCTTGATGCTAAGATATTGCTGAATAATATTAATAGAGAGGTATGATTGAATCTTGTCCGTGAATTCACCCACTTCTCACAAGCTTGTTGTTGATGTAAATCAATTGTTTTTACTCTCAAAAACGTGAGGTAAGAAATTGCGTTGTTTTTTTTGATTTGTTTTTGAAATTTTTTTGTGGGCGCCAACAAAAATATTCGACAAAATTGAAGAACAAAAAACAACAAGTATTTTTGTTAAATTGTAACGAGTTCTAAGAATTGGTTGAGAGTGATATTCATAAATATTTTGAACAGTGGAAATGTTTGAAATTGAGAGAAATTTAAAACTCCAAGAGCAAGGGTAGCCCATTGACCTATATAAGGAAGTTTCTTAATTTTCTAGAGGCGGAATTCTTGTTAATGTCTTTAGTTTATTTGAAAATTTGTATGAAATTATGTTCCAGATCCCATTCAGAAACATAGAGGAGGGCTCTTGTTGGATCTAAAGTGAGTCCAGTTGGAGCATGGAGTCGATCCTCAATGATTTTCACATGTTCTGTCAGAGTAGAATTGAATATTTGTATACGATTGTTTCCTTCATCACATATGAGAACATTCCCAGTGATTTGATCAATTGTGATGGCTCTCGGTGTGTTGAATTCGAATTTGGAAGATCCCTTTTTTCCAATTTCATTCAAATGCTCTCCATTGGGTGAATAAACTTGAATTACATGACGTCCACTATCAGTAATCAGTAAATTACCAAACGAATCAATTGTTATAGACCATGGCATGAGAAATTGACCTTTCTTAGTTCCCTTCTCTCCAAAATTGTACAAAAATTGACCTTCCTTTGAGAGGACAACTATTCGAGAATTGAGACAATCACATACGAATATTCTGCCCTCTTCATCGACAACCATTCCTGTAGGCCCATTGAATTGATTCGATTTACATCCTTTAGAGCCATACATTTCCACATGCCATGATTCCATAATGGTATATCTGGATACAATGCTGTCATCACAACTGATTAGGATTGAATTGTCATTGGTGGGATCGAGTGCCATTCCTCTAATTTCGCTCTGTGTGGAAATTTGATACTTGTATTCAAGTGTTTTAGCATCAAAAATTTGAATATTCTTATTATTGTAACAGGCCACAAGGAGATAGTCTCTTCTACTGAGATATTTAATATCAACTGGGCCATCAAATTGACCATCTGCAGATCCAAATGATCCAAAACTATTAATCCAATTAAATTCGCCATAAACTGTTTGTTTTGGCGACTGACATGTGATTGGATTTTCTTTCGTTAGCAATGTTGCAAAATTGTCGATGGATGTTTGAACAATTGATTCTTCCATCTTGATCTTTTTTGAAGAATCTTCCTTCTCTATTAATTTCTTTCTCTTATGTGATTTATTGGCACGCTTGTGCCGTTTCACATTATTGGTTGACTTGACAAGATTCTGTGAAATCAAATCAGAAGGTTGACCAACAACTGAAAGCACATTTAATGGTAGTAATGCACTTCCTGAACTTGTCGATTCATGTTCTGGTGAAGCAATTTGTTGCATCATTACAGAATCATTTAACAATTGCTGTGAAGTTAGCAAACTCTCACTCGAAGCACATCTGAATAAACTCATAGACGAAAGACTCTTTGGAATTGACTGTGAATCGAACAATCCAGTATGAGATTCTTGCTCAACAACTTCCTGTTGTGAGGGCAGTAAAAATTCATTCAGATCAAGAAAATTCACAAACTCTTCCTTGATCAATTTTTCTTCTTCTTCGTCATTTACAAAATTCGAAACTGTTTCATCCTCATCATCATGCTCGTATCCACACTCCAAAACTGTTTCTACAAGGCTCTTCATTTCTTCATACTTTTCCACAAATGCATTCTTAATTTCATTCAAATCTTGCAGGTGAAGCGCCAATTTAATAAATTTTTCTCTCATCAACATTTTTCTTGCATTATTGGTGCTACTATTATGACAATTATTAAAATTGTATGAATTAGTAACTATGGTCATTGCTGCAATTGTTGTTGCTGCTGATGGTGATGGTTGCAATTAATTGATGAAAATGATGAGGGTTTTCTTTTTTCCTCTCCGAATTGCAAGAAAGATTCTTCTCTCTTGTTGACCGCAAAAAACGCAAGATATTATGTGTTGGATTTTTTTTTGTAAAGTCTAGCTCTGATTTTGGGAGAGAACTGTAAATTATGAGTAAAAATAGGTTTTTGACTGAATGATCCTCATAAGGACTTTTTTAGATATTGATTTGCAAATGTTTGATATCAAATAAGGCTATGAGAGAGATTCAATTAAGTGAGGCAGGAAGGTTTACAGAGGTTTACAGATAAATAATTTTTCGAATTAGCAAATATTAGAGAAGTTGTAAATATGTTAAAGTTAATAAATTGTATTGAAAATTAGAGTGCTTTAAATACTTCAATTTCCACTACTTGGAATTTGCAACTACCAGCTAAATACTTTCTTGCCTGCTCACTTTCATAAGTGAATCCAGTTGGTAATTGATAGGTGTGCCCAAAGTTGGAGTATGAGTTGGAATTTTCATTGCATGATGAGGAGAGTTTGAAATCCAAACCAAAAGAAGGAAGACTTTCAATATCACAAGAAATTGCATTCCTATACGAGTCAGATTTGATATCAAATCGTGAAATGGATGCAGAATCAATCTTGAATATGAATGCAGAGGGATCTGTTCTGAAACCTTTGGAAGATTCCCAATTATTTGATGTAAATCCACCAAATATATGACCATTTCTTGATTGAACAATCGTCACAGTCTTCCCTTGTTGATCACAATGTTTGTGAAAGTCGGTTGCCTTAAAACCATCTCTTGTTCCTCTATATAATAAACCATCATTCTTTGACTTTACATGTTTTTCAAAGAGTTCCCTTAATATGTTAGGATCCAAAATATTAGAATTAGTTATAGTGTCAGATGCTGTTGGTGGAAGAGTTGCTTGTTTTTCTTGTATCAAGTGATTCCTAAAATTCTCAAATCCAAACTCTTCACAAGCTCTCAATACTAATTTCAGTTCCTTTTCCGAAAGCTTTTCACATTCTCCTGTTTTCATCCACTCGATAATAATCTTGAAAATAGCAACATCACAATCTATAAAGAAAACCTTCTCCTCGAATACTAATGAAGGAGTTTCATGAAGTGGAATTATTCCCTTAAACATCTTATCAATTACATTATTTGGTTCCCTCACAGAATTGACAAATACACCCATACAAATAGTCAGTATGTATCCACCAACATTGAGGTGAACGGGCTTCTTTGTATCAAATTCTTCATTACCAAGAGTTATCATGGAGAGAATTTCCAAACGTTCCTTCTCTAATAAGGCTTCTTGTAATTTGAATTCTTGAATTATCTTGCACTTTTCCTCTTCAATTTCTTTCAATCGGTTGAGAAGTATTTCGAGATCGTCTTGTTGCTGATGAGGTTCAACATTTAATTTGAGCGATTTAGAAGGAGGTTGTAAGGTGGATTGTTCATGATTGTGTTCTTCTGAAGATTCAATACTTTCGTGGCCTCTCTTATTTGATGAAGAACATTTGCTATCGGATGATGATACATTGAGGTTTTCTTCATTCCTCAAGTAGTGTTCTTCCTTAAGAATTTGTTCCATTTTTTTGTTGCTTAACTTCCTTTCAAATCCTCTTTCATTCTGTTGCAATGCTCTTAAACGTATTCATTCTTGAAAAAGATAATTTGAAGAACAATTAAGGTTTATTTCATCAATGAATATAGCTGGCGTAGCTCAGTCGGTAGAGCGTTGGTCTAATAAGCCATTGGTCGCCGGTTCGATCCCGTCCGTCAGCAAATAATTTTAGTTTTGCAATAATTGATTTAAAAACATGACAATCGTGAATCAATATTTAATGTGCCTTAATTTACAGATAAGTTCATTATTGATACAATGAACGGTTAATGTTGACAACAATGTCATTGATTTCATCACCTCCCTCATCTAGTAAGTCTTGAAATGTAAACTTGGTAGCATCTTTTCCATGCTTTTCACAATAAGCAAGATGTACCTTACCGTATTGAGAAAATGCTTGACTGAGAAGTTGAACTCTAATCGTTTTGTCAGCACTATGAAGGGCTTGTTTCAAATCATCCACATTCAAATCAGTACAATAACTAGGTGTGGCAGGATGTTGTCTCCATGATTCATCCAAAGTTCCAGAATCAACAGGATCAAATCCAAGTTGATCAACCAAATCAAGGATCACTTTCTTTTTTGAAGGATCATTTCCAGCAACTGGTAGTGCAATTCTTGTTTGACCTTTTTTAGCACCCTTAACTGCCAAACTATGTGTCAAAATATTGTTAAACACTTTAACTACAGAATGACCAATTTGTTGAGAAACCCATTCACTATGGGTAATGATCTCCTTGTCCAATTCATCAGTAGGAGAATCTCTAACTCCTGGATAATAATTGCACGTATCAACCACAATCACTTGTTGAGGAAGGTTCTGGAACAAATTCTTGGGAAGGAGAGAAACGTTTTTAAATGGAATTGTGAGAATGATGATATCCAAATCACCTTCTTGAACAATCTCCAACAGCTCGACAGGTTTTGCCTTAGTCTCCTCTTGTACTTGTTTCAATGTTTGAGGACCTCTTGAGTTGGCAATCAAAACAGTGTGACCTTGTTGAACAAGTAGTTTTGCAAGGGTTGATCCTATATGACCTGCACCAATAATTCCAATCTTCATTTTTTTTTGTCTTATTTCGAATATGTTTTTCAAAAAGTTCTTCTGTTTTTTTTATTAAGAATGTGTGCGTGTTAAACTTGAATAAAACGCACGCGCTGTCAACAATAAAACATTCGGACAGTTGTATGAAGACTACAGCGCCTAGAATTATTGCTCATGATTTTACAAGAAATAATTATTTCCTTGGAATGTAAAAGCTGAATTATTTTTCCATGGTTTGATTTGAGCAAACCTCAAAAGGGTGGAATTTCTCAACTTCCAACAAAAGCTATTGATGAAAATAAGACCATTATTGAACAGTATACTGATAATGCAATGAGGCAGGAGTTGATGGAATTGAATTGTATGATATTTGGTAGATCATTGTATTCAAGATGATTAAACTATTGTAAAATGATGTTTGATATTCGAAAGAGATAAACAAATTGGTTTCAAATATGGTATTTGATCAAATGAAAACTTTGATCACATCAATCTTGTTACAAACAAAAAATCAGAAAAAAACTCCTTTCACCAAAACTCAATTCGTAATGTGGAATTTAAGAACTGCTGCTGTTACTCTTGCAATTGTTGCTGCTGTTAGTACTGTTACAACAATCAAGTCAGAGCCACACTTTGTAAAACATTAACAACTGCTTGTAAAATAATCTTCAACTGCCTATGATGGAGAAAGTTTATTCGAAACTCTGTATTCTAACCTCCATTCCTTTCTTTGTAAATTTCTCCCAACCACTGATCAACGTTAATAACACTTTCGTGTTATTGCTTCATCAAAATCCTACCATTCAAATAAACTTTTCTCCATCCGTTAAAATAAATTTCAAATTCTTTTACAATACTTTACAATTTACTTGCATGTTGTTGATTTTGTTGTTTGGCAATAATTGAATGCAAAACAACTCGTTCAGGGAAGAAGTGATGATTAGATTTTGCCATATCAACCAACAGTTTTGATGGCATTTTGACAGAATCATATCTAATAGAGAGCTCTTCCAATCTTTTTACAATATTTGCAATTCCCAACGAATCAGCAAATGAAAGTAAACCTCCAAGGAATGATGGAAATCCAAATCCCATAATCATTGAAATATCCACAGCTTCAGGTAGTGCAATAATTCCTTCCTCAATGCATTTACTTGCCTCATTGACCAAGACGAGAATGCATCGATCAACAATATCATCGTAGAGTGTTGCCAGTGTTACTTTTCTTTCTCTCTTGGCTTGATAGCGAGAAATAATTTTGAGAGCTTCCGGATTGATTCCAGTTTGTCTTCCATATTCATCGTACAAGTAGAAACCCTTTCTATTTTTCACACCTGTATTGCCACCTTTAACTAGTTCTTTAAGGGCTTCGTAGTGGTCAAATCTGAGTGCCAAATTTTGGGCTAGGATTGGCATGACGTGAATGGCAACATCGAGACCATTGTGATCTAGCATAGACAATACACCTGTTGAAAATCCAAATTCTTGTAATCGTTGATCAATTTCCTCAAATGGAACACCATCCAATACAATACTTGTTGCCTCAATGCAATACACCACAAATAATCTGGTTGTTAAAAATCCTGGACTATCATTCACAACAATTGGAATTTTCCCCAAATCTAGAGCAAATTGGTAAGCTTTCGCTAATACCTCCTGTGAAGTATATCTCGTAGCAATAATTTCCACAAGTGGCATCTCATTGGCTGGATTGAAAAAGTGCAACCCAATCACATTTTGCTTCATGTTACTCTCCTCTGCGATGGATGTTAATGGAATTGAGGAGGTATTGGTGGCAAAAATTATTTCCTTGTTGAATGCTTGTGCTCTCTCGAGAACTTCCTTCTTAATGTCAATTCTTTCAAGGGCTGCTTCAATAACCATTTGGCAATTTTCTATTGGGTCATATTTCAAGCCAGTTTCTAAATATTTGGAAATGACTTCATCTCGTTGATTTTCTGTTACCTTTCCAGAACGAATTTGTTTAGAGTAGAGCTCATTCTTGATACGTTTCAATCCATTTTCCAAGTAGTGATATTCCACCTCTTTTAGATAGACGTTGTAACCTTTTGATAGACAGAGTTGAGTAATTCCACATCCCATTTGACCAGCTCCACAAACAGCAATCCTGTTGATTACTTGCTTGATCTTCAAATGACAATATTGAGGATCACAATAATTTTCGGCCTTTTTAGCAGCTTCCAACATGTTAAAGAGGGAAATCAAATTTTTAGAAACTGGATCAATGACAAGCTCTGCAAAATTAGATGCCTCAATCTCCAGGGCTTGATCTATTGTCATGGTATATCCACTAATTATTGTTTCCAATATTTTGTGTGGCGAATGGAATGGTCTTCCTCTTGTTTGTTTCTTGATATTATTTGAAGCAATAAACTCGATAAATAATCTTCCAATTGGATTGTCTTTCAGATATTCTCTGATAGATATTTTCCTTCTCTTGTACTTTTGTAATTGGAAAGATGGCTCCCTATTGAATAATCGTGAGGAAGCAACTTGTAATATATCCTTCATTGCTTCAGCAATTAATTCCTCCCTTTCAGGAAGTGTCTGTACAGATAAATCCTTGATATATTCGAAAGATCTTTGAAAGAATTCCACATCTTGTGCTTGAGGTTTGGTTTTTGATATGTATTCATCATTATTCTGTTCAACTTCGTAAGGAAACACCTGATCAACAATTCCACATTCCAATGCACTCTTAGCTCCAATGGAACTTCCTTGTAAAATCATTTGAATCGAATTATCCAATCCAATCAATCGTGGCAATCTGACACACCCACCTGAACCTGTCAAAATCCCCAATTTCGTTTCAGGAAGTCCACAATAAGTTTTTGAATAATTAGAACAAACTCTATGGGATGCTGCCAAACACAATTCAAATCCTCCTCCCAAACAAACTCCATGAATTGCAGCCAAAACAACAATTGGTAAATATTCAATCCTTCTCGTGAGGTATTGTCCTGTTCTTGAGAGAGTTTTTGCTTTTTCTCTATCAGTTATTGTATAAATCATATTTACATCAGCTCCTGCAATAAAACAATCCTTTTTTAAACTGTACATCATTAATCCATGTATTTTACCTTCCAATACTAAACGTTCTACATCTCCGATCATCTGTAATTTTCCAATAATTAATATTTAAATAATTTAAATATTCAATCAGCTGATGATCTTTAAAAACAAACCTTTCCCAAATTATCTAAAATTGTTTCATCAATTACATTAACAGTCTTTCCCTTGTAATGAAAAAACAAGACTGCAATGTTTTGATGTAGTACAAGGCTCATATCATCATCCGATCGGATGAATTTTAATTTTACAGTTGTTGGATTCGGAAAGAGATTATAAACATATTCCAATAGTTGTCTATTCATTTTTATTATGTAATATTTATAATTATTATTAAATAATAAATAGCAATATCTGATATAATATTTTCTAATAAAAAAAATGGTTTCGTTTTGTTTATTCATATTTTAATAAATAAATCTCTTCTTGATAGTTTGTTTGTCCAATTTGAGTACCTTAATCAAATCTCTAAGCAAGACAATTTTTTCCACAGTTTGAGAGGTCGACTCAATCTTCACTCTCGCCCCATACATGAGCCCTTTCGAATCGAATAGAAAGACAACACCAAAGTGTGCATATGGAATCTCAGAAAGGTTTTCCTTCTTTGCTTGCTGTTCCAACTTTTCAATAAAATCAATTTGGATGTATTGTGTTTCACTGTAGTTGGAACTTTCACTCATACTGCCACAACTAATCTCGATTGAGGTTGGGATTTTATCTCTATTTTCCTCTCGTTCCTCATGATCTTGAAATCCAAATGAGATGAATTTGGCATCCCCATAATACATATCTTCACAAAAAACAATCTTATAGAACGATTCGACAGTTTCAATTCCATACTTGGTTCCCTTTTTAAATGTTGAGATTTCATTCAATATTTCAATGTATCGATTGTTTCTCTTTTTTGGGAAAATTACATTCACTTGCTCAACAAGTAACTCTTTGGTTTTTTCAAGAGAATCATGAATGATCAATTTCAAGGTCAATGGTTGAGGGAGAGAGGGATGTGTAATATAACTGTAAGAAGTTCCCCAAATAACTTGACTAAGTTTTGGAATTGGTGTGAAATTGGCTGTGAAATGACACCAAAGTTTTTCCATTCCTTCAACTTTTAACTTGTCATCGTGATGAAAATTGATTCCCAATGTTTGGTAGGATGGAAAATTTGCTTCAATCCACTTTCCAGTCATATCCTTGTAAAAAACTTGCACCTCCCTTACAAAAATGTAATAAGGCTTTGGATTGTGAATTCTGACAGAGAATGCAAAACTAAATCCCAGTCCACTATCGTATTGGAATTGAGAAGGTATTACAACATAATTTGGATCACTATCCTCAATCGAAAGTTCCAATTCTGAATCACCAGTATTCGTATGCTTTTTACAATTGAATTTTGGTTCTGGAATGTCCTTAAATCCAGGTCCAATTCTCTTTTCTGGAATTTTATCACATAATTCCTTGTAAAATTCCAAAGTTTCTTCAGTACTGACAACTACTGGTGGAATGTAAGTGTTAATAATTGGTTTTCTGACATTTGCTTGGTGAGTTATTGCCACAAAATTACCAGGTGGAGGGGGAGGAACAACAATTCCACCACTACCTACTGTAACAGCATGAGAGGATGTGACAGTTGTTGAGCTTGTTGGAGGTGCTGTACTAGTTGGAAGTTTGACAGTTGTTGTTGAGCTTGGTATTGGAGGTGGAATGGTTATGTTTTCTTTTTTAGTATTCATTGCTTGTTGTTGTTGTCTCCAATTTGGTTGTTGGAGATTTTGAGTGACACTATTACCAGGTGGAGGTGGAACATTTGGCAGTTGTTGAGTAGCATTAGTTACAGATCTATTAGATTCTTCCTTTTTAATTTGTTGTTGTTGTCTCCAATTTGGTTGTTGATTCATTGAATGGTTGTTAACAATACCAGGTGGAGGAGGAGGAACAATTGGTTGAGTAGTAGATTTACTTGAACTAGTCAACTGTGAAGTAGTGACATTTTTAGGAGGAATTTGATAACCTGAACCAATTGAAGGTGGTGGAGGTGGAACATTTGGTAAACTACAACCAACAGCAACACTTTTTGATTCTTCCTTTTTTGTCAATTGTTGTTGTCTCCAATTTGGTAAAGTTGTGTTATTATTATTATTAACAATATTGTTAGGAGGAGGTGGTGGCACACTATTGTTGATGGTGGTTGGTGGAGTTGCTGATGATGATTTATCAGTTTTGTGAATGCCAAATGGAGAGGATGACATTTTTTAAAGTGTGATTTATTTTTGTATGTGAGACTAAACTGAGGTTTTTAAAATGGATAGTAATGAGACGGAACTAATTTGAACTTGAAATGGGCGATCTAAGTCTCTTTACTATCTCATTGGTGATCTTTCAATTTTTTTGTTTTATTGTATAAGATCGTTTATTACAATTTTCATTCGAATCTAAATAGACTTGATTTGGTCAATTAGGTTGATAAAAGATTAGAAATTCATGATTATTCACAGTTCATTCTGTGGAAAACGAGGTGATTGTCAATTGATTCCACAAATACAAAATCTTTATATTCTGTACGAACTTTCACAACATGTACATGAAATTCAATACATTTAAGAAATATGAATTGTGAGGAGACTGTTTCTTTCAAAATGATTCCTTCTCATGAATTCCAAGATAATTTTCGAAAATTGTCAGACAATATTTCAATTTCTTTAATAACAACAAATTTAAATTAATAATATAAAATTACAACCTCTAAAATTGTTTAATATCAACCATATATGAAAGTTTGTAACCATTGATGATGATTTAATTCTTTTGGCAACCCTTTTGCTTGTGGCTTTCTTGTTAGCAGATAATGCGTCCGTTGTGTTGAGTTTCGGTTTGTCTAGTTTTACGAATAGGCGAAACCTATCTGATTTTGAAGAGAAGGATTCAACACGTTTCACTGTTTAGGATGTTGTAATTTTGACGTGTTTCGAATAGACCAAATAGAACGCGAGAGAAGATATTCGAAATGAAAATGTTTTTTTCTGGTTCTTACCAAACAAGACCGTTGTGGAAATAAAAATAGATGAGAAACACTTCACAATACTTTCATCTTCATTGTTCCTTACTACTGTATCTGATTCGTTTCTTCTGATCAGTTTAGTTTAATTTCAATTATTAGAAACAATAGTCAATTAGTAATGTAAATAGTTTTTAAATAATTAAATGTACAAGCTCAACAAACTGTGAAAGACCAAACATTAACTCTTTGGAATGGAAATCTCTCAAGTCGGTTTTTTTACATGCCATAAACAATTTACGAAAGTTGACGAAATAAGAAAATCTTGGCGTTTGCTTGCTTATTGTGAAAGAAAGTAACAAGAAAACTGACACAACCGAAATACAACGGCAAACACCTTTGGCGTTCTAAAAGCCGAACTTTAGATATTGTGTTCGATCCTTTTCAGTGTTTATCAAGTTTCGTCTGAAGAAAACTAAACAAAAAAACTTTTACACACAATGATGACTTCTCAACCACATTTCAATTTCAGTGGTATGAATAGTTCGCTTTCTTCTACGTCCAATAGTAATGAAAGTGCCAGTTTGATGAATCTTTTACTTTCGAATAACGTTTCTAACATTTCAAATAACCAATTGTACAATAAGCTGATTAACAATCATAATCCAGATGTGAATGGACAATCATTTAATTGCCCTCCTAAAACTTCTGGACCTTCCTCTCCAACGAATCTAACTTTCGAACAACAAATCGAAAGCCACATGATGCTAGACGAAACCTTTACACAACTTCCCTCTTCACTCCACATCCCATCAGATTCATCATTATCTTCACTCCGAAGAACCACAAGTTATCCAAACAAATTTCATTCCTTCCAACAATCATCAAACACTTGTAAATATTGCGAAACTAGTCGAAACCTAAAGCAACCATGCATGTTTTGTAACAAGAATGGAAATAATTTAAAATCCAAAACACCTTCTCCTATGAATAATTGCACCTCTCCTTCACAATCCACTTGTAACAGTATCATTTCGAATAGTATGACACTTTCACATTCGAATTCAATGGAAGCAATAACTGATCTTGATAGAGCTTTGGATGGATTGAGTCCACAAACTCCATGTTTCTTACAATTGGATATCAATGGATTAGTTTCTGAATTAAATCAATCCAAAACACCAATTGAAGATGTTCACAATAATACGAAACAACTCCCAAGACAATTATCATTTAATTTATCCACAACTCCATTCACAACATTTAACAACAATACCACAACTAGTACATGTCCACCACAATTTAACAATTCCCAAAACAATCAAAACAATCATATCATTCAACAACAACAGCAACAACAATTTAGTAATGCAATGATTGAAAGATCACTCAAGTTGTCCACTCTCCAGAGAAGAAATTCATTCATTGTGAATAATAGGAGTGCTTCGTCTAATAATTTATTGTCGGCAGTTGTGAAAAATCCAAGCACTTCACCTGCCAGTCCAACAACGAATACTCCTGGAAATTTGTCACCTACTCCTTCATTGGCCTCACTCTCAAGAAAGAGTAACAGTTCTAGTTCTCTGAATAATTTGAGAGGAATTTCGAAACAGAGAAAGACTGGAACACTCGTTACTGAAACTGTGACCACAACGAGTTCAACCATTCATCACTGTGTTGAATTTCCAAAAGATTCCACATTTGTGAATTCATCGGGAAATAGTGTACAACAACAAGCATCTTCATCTTCGAATGGAGGAAATGCAAGAAATCAATCTTGGACTTTCTATAAGGAGGAGGCCTTTGAAAATGAAAAGAAGAATTCAAAGAATAATTTCAAATTCCATAACATATCATTCGTTCACGTTCCTGAGCAATAATGTACATAATAAATAATAACACTTCAGGGATTTATTTAATGTTCATGTCTTGATTTTTTGGCTTGTTTTTTCATTTGTTTAACGAGATGATTGTACTTTTTGTACATTTTAGTTCCTGGTTGATAGGAGAAGCATGATGTGAAATGATTTTGCAATTCAAAGAGCTTGGAGCCATCCTCTAAGCTCATTATTTCCTTCCATGTACAGTCCTTATCTACAGCAACGCCTTCTCCAGATCCAGCGAGAAGGAAGGCACTCTCAACATCAACAGAACTCTCCAATATGTTATTCTCCTGTGTTTTACTGTCCTCTGATAATTGTATTAAAGGTGTTGCAAATTGGTTAAGGTCAATGTAAAAGTATGGATCTTCTTCGTAATCATCTTCAGACTCGGATCCACTGCTTGATGCATCATCATTCTCATCATACCATTCATCATCATAGAGAACAGGAAGAGCACCAAAAAGTTTGTGAGGTTCTGATGTTAAGAATGGTGCGTGTAAACTTTGACTCAACTTTTCAGACTTGTCATCATCACCCTTATTGAGTTGTTTTTCATATTCATCAATATCTTTGGCAAACAAGTTTTGGGAATCGTTACATAAACTCAAAGCTTCATAGAATTTGACAGTAAAGCAAAATCTTGAATCATTAGCACTTCTTTTGAGTCGTTCCAAATTATCAGTTGATCCCACATAGTGGAAAACCTTAGAAGGAGATAATTCGTCGTCACTATTGCAAAATATAAATAATATGCCTGTTGTTGGGAACATGGAGGATTTTTGCTTAAATACTTGGTAGGCCAATCCAAAGAGATCACTATCCTTATTTTCTTCAATATTCAACTGCAAAAGAAGAGTCAAATTCACTATTCTTTGAGAGTCAAATCCTTTTGGTAGATCAGGTTCACCTGACATTTTAGTTGTTCCAATAGGTACTGAGGAATCTTCACTAACACATGTATCAATAAATAGAGCAGGTGTAATAAATTGTTTAAAGACTTTCTCTTCTGCAAGGTTTTCCAAAAACATCTCCTTCTTGATTTGTTTGTAATCAATAATTAAAGGTTGGATATGATTTCTGTAGATGAGCATGTAGGGAAGGTTGAATATCTTTTCATTGGAGAGAAGAGGTTTCAAGAAGTGATGGTTTTTACAAGTGCTCGAACAAACATCCTTCCACAAAAAGTCTTGCAAGCAAATTAAATTGGCTACATGAGAAAGCAATCTAAATTGCAGTAATTCATGAACTGGCAAGTATGGAAGAATATGATAAATAATTTCGTTAGGTATGTTTTCAATCAAGTCATTGAAGTAGATTGGCAATTCTTTCAAATGTTCAGTAAATTCTTTTGATTTTGCTTCATCCAAGATACGTCTTCTGAATCTTCTCTTGTTAATGGTTGAGAAATTGTAGACCTGTTGGAAAATGTTCATCTTTTTCAACATTTCCTCACAATAGTCATAGTCTGCACTACTAATGTCCTTACATTCTTCAAATAACTCTTTTGCTCTTTCAAAGGTGATACCATTTGTGTGGACATAGAATTGTAAAATATCAATTTCCTCCAAAGTAAGAGATTTTGGATCTCTGGAGAAGAATTCCTCATTCATCACAATAGTACAATCTGACAAGGTAATTGGTTGAAAGTCATAAACTTCTCTGGACATGATTGGTACGTCCTTTTCAGAAAAGTATTGTCTCATTTCTTGCATCTTTTCTTCACTTGTGGACAAGAGAAACACTGGATGATTTGTTTGGAAGGGAATTCCAATCGAACAATCGTTAGATTCTGAATAGATGATATCATCAACATTTTTCGAAGGATTTTCCAAATAAATATCCAAAAAGTTTGAATTCACTATTGATCCAACCATTATTTGTGTATAATCGATGAGGAAGGAAGCTAATTGACAAGTTGGAGTCTTTTTTTGATAATCTTCCTTTGAAGTAATTATTACAACAGTATAGTCATCACTAATATGAGAGATGTATTTCTTTTCCTCTTCAGATAGGAGTTGGAAACAGTCTTCTCTGGTTTTTCTCTTGGTAAGCATTGCAAAAGCCTTCTTTTCATCTTCATTTGTAAGATCAGACTCATTATCAAAGAGACAAACTCTCAAAAAGTCTTCAGGATGCTCCACGACTAAGCCTCCTCTGCTTTTAATTCTTTCAATATATTCATTAGGATTAAATGATTCCGAAAAACAAAACAATTCCGTAATATCAGCTCCTAATTCATCATCATCGTCCTCTCCATCCTCTTCTTCTTCATCTGAATCATCATCCTCCCAATCATCTTCATTGTCCTCCTCTTCTTCATCAACCCAATCATCCGAATCATCCTCCACAGGTATTTCCACTCCTTGATCATCCAACTCTCTAATCTTTGTCATTTTCAATTTTTTTAAGATTTGAAATTAAATAATTAAAAACGGCGCCAAATATTCTAAAAAAACATTGAACAAGAAGCGATGTCTTTCTTAAAGTAAACATTTGAAGTAGCTGGAAGATTAATGAGAACGGATGTAGTCTAGATGAAAACACTGATAATTGTACCTTGTACTTGATACAATTTAAAAAATCAAAAGGAAAAGAATTTGATTAATCATCACGATAGTAATTATTATTAATAATTAAATAACTAACTGCACAAGAAGAAGAACCCTAATAGAAGGATCATGGATGAATGGTTACATTCATTTTCAGAGCGCCCCATGTTACCTGTCGTCTATTAAAACATTTTCCAACAAGTACAAATCTTCATCAAAAAAATAGGAAAAAGGATTTGTCCATCATCCATTCAAATATTCAATAATTCATCATCATCAATATGCCAACATTGACAGTAACCGTTGTTGCAGGTCAAAGACTTGTTGCTAAAGACATTAGTGGTACATCGGGTAAGTAGTGTGATTAAAATTTGGTTATTGATCGTGATTTGATGTGAAATAATTGTTTTGTGATGATCAAAAACGACGCCAATAATAATAATAACTAACAGATCCATATGTTGTGGTTAGAGTTGGAAGTTCCTCTCAGAAAACATCTGTGAAACCAGCTACCCTCAATCCAACCTGGGCACAAACTTTTACATTCTCTGTTAGTGATCCTAGTAGAGAAATGGTAACTTTTGATGTATTTGATCATGATTTGATCGGTAAACATGATTCTATGGGAAGTTGTTCAGCACCATTGTCTTCATTGAAGAGAGGTGTAGTTGAAAAGTTGACATTATCTTTGACTGGAGCCAAATCTGGAAGTCTTGTTGTTGACTTATTGGCTCAAGACTTTGGAATTCAAGCAATGGTTCCACAACAAGGTTATCCACAACAACCAATGCAAACAGGTTATCCACAGCAACCAATGCAAGGATACCCTCAACAAGGATATCCTCAACAACCAATGCAAGGTTATCCACAACAAGGATACCCTCAACAGGGATATCCTCAACAAGGTTACCCTCAACAACCAATGCAAGGTTATCCTCAACAACCTATGGTCCAACAAGGATACCCTCAACAAGGTTATCCACAACAACCAATGCAAGGATATGCTCCACCAATGCAAACTGGTTATCCACAACAACCTGTTGTCACTGGTAGTACAACAACTACAACTAGTTATTATCAACAACCAACTACAACAATGCACGCTCATGTCACACCAGGTTATCATACTCATAAGGATATGAAAAAATTGAAAAAGATGGGAAAGAAAATGGGCAAGTTTGGTAAATTTGGAAAGATTGGAAAAATCGGAAAGAAGTTTGGCAAGTTTGGTAAAAAGTGGTTCTAAGTAAATAATTTATTCTGATATAGTTCAATACAGTTTCAGTAATTATTTAATCGGTTTATTAGAAACGATTATTATCGCAATAATGTTGCTCGTGGTGATCAGCATAAGCTCCCCTACACATTGGAATACACATACCCATACAGTTATTAATTTGTAAAATTCCGCTCGTCAAATCCAATACAGGTAAATACTTGTGGTCAGTTCTTAAAGTACAGCATGAGGAGCAACAATTGGCCAAACTTTCAGAATGATACTTTCCCATTATTCTATCATATTTATACTTTTTGAAAATCTTTTGGGATCGTTGCAACACGGATATGTACAGCACCAAGATGTTAACACTGTAGTGAGACTACATAAACTAGTTAACCAATGCGAGCAGCAAAACTTGGAAATGCACTTGTTCAGTGTGCCTGTTTTGGTGTCAAAAATCATTTTTTGATTTTGAGGTCTACTTAGCTCAATAGATTTAAAACATGAAGATGTTTTCTTGTTTGGAAATTGTAAAATATTGTTTCTAACAATTCCAATAACTCTTTGAAATTCCAGAGTCTGAAATACTAGTTTTACATTTTCCTTTTTCTTCTCCAATTTAAATCGGTTCTCTATTTTTTGATTAGTTGCTTTGCCATATTCTTCCAATAATTCATCCGATATCATTAGTTGAGATTTTAAAAATGATTTTGTAAATGTTTCAAAAAACATCTGTCGCTGTAAATCATTCATGCTCTCAAAGTTTAGTCTTATCAGATCAAAGTAGCAACACTCAAGTACAACCTCCAAGTCCTGCATTTCCTTATCAACAAATATTTGTGGTGAAATATCTCCTTTTAAGTATCTGTTTCTGTAAGCCTCTAAAATGTTATATTGTGTGGTAAAGAATAAAAACAACTTGTGCTGTTTTTCTGCATCACTTAGGTCCTTTTTCTCTATAAATTTTGTAATAGAATGAATAGTATTCTTGTCTACAATGGTTTTCAAGTCAATAGAAAACTCTTCCATTAATGGAATCAACTTGAATCTAACTATACTATAGAGAATAAGCCTGCATTTTTCATCAAACTTTTCAAACTTGTCTCTTGGAAGATTGTCAAATGTTTTACATGTTTTATAATCATGTTTGATGGAACCATTAAACATAATCACGTCATATTCATTGAAAAATGTTTTGGGATGGGAACTTGTTACATGGATGCAATTTTTACAACGAATTGGTCTCGGGTGTTCCTCATACAGATTTGAAAATTTATCCTGAAACCCTTGAATTTTGATCTTAATCTTTTTAAAAACTCGGAAAGGGTTTAGAACATCGTTTTCACTTATGAAAAACCTCTTATTTTCTCTCCAATTTGAGATCATTTCTCTTACTGTTTGTTCCTGATTCTCTGCCTCCATGCCTTTCAAATTAATAGACGAAAGAGCATCAATTTCCTTAAATATTAAATCCATTGAACTTCTTCCCTCCGAACCCCAATTAATGATAATATCGGCTTCTGTACTACTCCATTGTTTAAAATTCTTTTCTCCAACTAAATGTCTAAAGAATCTCAATACATGAGGGATTGGAAAATCATCCTCTAAAAAATTCAATTGAATCAGAATGGATGGTATATTACGATCTTCAAAGATTGACCACTCCCTTTCCAAATCACTGTTCTCATGATGCTCATCAAAAAGATAGGAAAAGTCCCGATTCACCAACGATTGAGATTTTATACCACTTCCGAAGACTGCCACATTCTTTCGGTTTATAAATTTGAAAGCATCAATATCATCTACAGTAAGGAATGAAGCAATTTGGGATAAGGCACTAGGATCGAGTTGGTTCATTTTTTTTGTAAATATTTTTAATATCTTAATAAGTTAGCGGGAGATTTTTGGTTTGGAGTGATGAATTAAACCTAATATATAATATTAAATTGCCTCGGGAGTAAGGAGAAATCGTTGTGTATTTATTCATTCTAAGCACAAGTTCTAAAAATCTAGATGAAAGAATTTTTCCTTACCTGTGAGTTTAACAGTTCTTAATTAAATTCCGTTACTTTTCGAATTTGGTTTTGCGTGCTTTCTTTTATTCTACAAATAAAAAACAATTGCTGACGGACGGGATCGAACCGGCGACCAATGGCTTATTAGACCAACGCTCTACCGACTGAGCTACGCCAGCTATATTTCCTACTATACAAACCTTAATTGTTCTTAAATAACATATAAAATGAAAAAAAGGAAGGAAAAAATGAAACCGTACAAGAGAAGGAACGTTTGGTAATTTTTAGAGTTTGCCTTAATTGTGTTCGAACGCATCAAACACGAAATATTGAGAACTTGTGAAAAGAATCCTCTTTAATTTTTTATACAATTCAATTTAATACTTCAACCCATGGAAGTTCTCTATGGTTTTTCACAATTATTCAATTTGAATGATTTTCTATTAAATAGGAAGAGTCAAACTATCCGATAGACACAAGCCAAAAAATGATAGAAGATGTTGCCTACCTCTATTTTACCGACATTTGATGGTCAACTTGATTGAACTGGTAAAACACTGTTTGTAACAATGCGATATTGCATTCCAGTACACACTGTGGAAAACTATTCGATTTCTAATTGTTTTCTTTTAACAGCGTGAATGGTCATCCATAGCAACCCAACCATTCAAAAAAATGAGCCTTTCATTTCAGAGGGGAATCCTAATTTTCTTTTTATTGTTGGTCAACCAGTTTGCTTTTTGTGCTAACTTACCAAATGGCGTCGACCAAGGTGATTATTATGTTGTTCCAATCGGCGGTGCAAGAGTAAAAGAGTATGGTTTTTTGAGTATTTCGTCAACAGAAGTCCAATTACATAGTCAACCTAAAACTCCAATCACATACTCCTATGGTCCACTTTCAAGTGGTATGGTATACGATTCCACCAACAAAGTATTCAATTTCAATCCAGGTGCAGGTCAAGCAGGCAAAACATTCACCATTCAGAGAAATTCAACCTATTACAATCAACAATCATCCAAAACTATTACTCAGACTGATTACATTACAATCAATGTTGAAAGTGCTGAAAAATTAACATCCACCAATTTATTACTACAACAAGATAATTTCACAACAAGTAATGGAATGGGAGGTGGTTGGATTAGTACCCAAGGTTCACACTCAATTTCTTCCAATTCTTTAACAATTAACTCTGCTAATACCATTACAATTTCCAAAATTAATGTCACTTCCAATGATGTCACTTTTCAAATTATTGCCAACTCATATTATTCATCACCTGGAAGAGGATTCATATTCAATTATATTGATTCTAATAACTATTATGAAATTCAATTACAAAACCCAGGTCCATTAACCATTACACGTGTATTGAATGGTCAGAGAACTGTCATCCACAGCTCAACATTATTAGTTGGTGCATATGGTAATCCAGTTGTTACAACTAATCACAAGATTTATGTTAAGAAAGTTAATAATGCTATTCAAATATCGATTGGTCAATTGAGTGTGGCAAATGCTGATTATTTGGTCAATGCAGTTGATTCAGATACTAATGCAATGAAAGTATTTTATTCGAATGATGGTAAGATTGGTTTCTTTGATAAGTATGTTCAATCTGGTTCCAGATTCAAGATTTTACAAGTTAGTGTCTGGAAAGGAAAGGTTCTTCATACTTATTCGATTGCTCCTCAAATTTATTGGGTCAACCAAAAGAATGGAACAGATTTGAATACTGGAAAATCATATGCATCAGCATGGGAAACTATTTCAAGAGCTCAATACATGTTGTTCCCAGATGATACTTTATATATTTATCCAGGAACTTATAGAGAAACTCTTAAAATTCAATATTCTTCCATTCCTGGACATCCTATTTCCATAAAAGGAGTTAATAATCAAGTTAGATTGGATGGTTCTTATCCAATTAATATGAACACAGTTCAATCTGTTAGTACTACATTGCCATTCAAGATTTATACTGCTCCATTACAAAGAGATTCTGTCAATGTCAATGTAAATAATAATAATTTCATATTGGCAATGAGACCACTTCCAGCTAATTCAGATGATTACTTTACAGTTGATAATTACTTGACAATCAATGTGAATAATACAAATTTCACACCACCTAATGCATTGTTGAATTATATGAAACTAGACGAAACTTTCAGATATAAAGCCGATGGTTCCAAAGTGAGTGATAATTATTGGGTCAATGCAACCATATTCCATTACACTGTTGCAGGTACTATTACAATTTCTAGAAAGATTTTATATTACAATAATGTAACTAACATAATTGGTGTTGCAAAAAATGTAGCATTTTTGGTAAATGATAAATATTCAATGGCAAACCACCCAGGATTGATATCAAAAGTTGGTCAATATGCAGTTGTAAATTCACAATTATATGTAGCAGCTGCAAGTTTACCAAATAATATTCAAGTTTCCATGTTACAAACAGGAATTAACATAATTAGAAGTGAATATTACATTTTTAGTAGTTTAAATATTACCAGATTTGAAAGTTATGGAGTATTG